CCCTCTCCTCCTTCTCCCTTCCCCCTCACCTCTTTCTCCCTTCCCCCTCACCTCTTTCTCCCTTCCCCCTCTCCTCCTCCTCCTTTCCCCCTCTCCTCCTCCTCCTTTCCCCCTCTCCTCCTCCTCCTTTCCCCCTCTCCTCCTCCTCCTTTCCCCCTCTCCTCCTCCTCCTTTCCCCCTCTCCTCCTCCTCCTTTCCCCCTCTCCTCCTCCTCCTTTCCCCCTCTCCTCCTCCTCCTTTCCCCCTCTCCTCCTCCTCCTTTCCCCCTCTCCTCCTCCTCCTTTCCCCCTCTCCTCCTCCTCCTTTCCCCCTCTCCTCCTCCTCCTTTCCCCCTCTCCTCCTCCTCCTTTCCCCCTCTCCTCCTCCTCCTTTCCCCCTCTCCTCCTCCTCCTTTCCCCCTCTCCTCCTCCTCCTTTCCCCCTCTCCTCCTCCTCCTTTCCCCCTCTCCTCCTCCTCCTTTCCCCCTCTCCTCCTCCTCCTTTCCCCATCACCTCCATCTCGCTCTTCCCCCTCAATTCCCCTGCAATTTCTCATTATTTCAAATCCTTTCTCCCCACAGCGGCGATACCCTGTCATCTGGCGACTGAAGGACGTGGACAGCGAGGAGACAACGCTGTGTTTCGTTTTCATGATTAAAATCTTGTAAGGAAAACTCAGACACACACTTACACGCACGCACACACGCACACACTTAAAAAACACGCACACCCACTCAACATAAGCTAAGGAATATGACAAAAATAAAGAAACCCGGTGTGGAGAGTAGTCATTTCGAAAATGCGTTAGGTCGGAGAAATAGAAAGATAAGAGTAAAAGATAAGGCCAGTCTACGTTTTCGAATAGAAGAATAACAAAAAAAACAAAAACAAAGAGAAAACGTCAGTTTGCAACTTTTTGTCGAGTCATTTCGAAATGATTACAGGAACAAGAAATTGAGAAAATGAAGAAATAAATGAAAATAAATCCCGGAATATGACCGACTAGTCTACTACATAAAATTTTAGCTCTGAAGAGAAACGAGAGAGATGGTGATCATATTGTGAAAACGAGAAAATAAATGTTTCTCAAAACAAAAGAAGACAGAGAAGCCAACGAACAAATCATACACAGTGAACACATTATTTATTAACCAAACCGGTGAAGAATTTACCGCCAAAGCACGGTATACGCTTGTAATTAAACTTGTATTTAATAAAACTAAAAGCTGAATCATTTGTTTTTATGTGTGACCACTTGTAACTAGGGAAGCTCTTTGACAATGCTCTCGATAATCCACTGTAGTGATTATCAGGCCTAAAAGTGTTTAAAAAATACTGTTAAATTGTCTATTGATGTATGAAACAATATAAATGACGGTCGAAAGAATGGTTAACTTTGCTTACCTGAGTCAACATGGCATAAATGAAAAAGGTAAATCTGAAGAAAAAGTTAAAACCTATAACAATAAGAACACAACAATGCTAGTGATAATGATAACCAATAAAACTACCGCGTTTGTATTTCGTGTTTTAGCTTTCTTGGTTTTTCTTCCAGTGATCACTTGCCCACTATCCATGAACATTATTTCCTGACCTTCCCATACATCAAATACGGATTACCTTTGAACACAAATACAAACACAGTAACGCGTACACAAAGATGAACAGGAAAAAAACCCACAAGAAGAAATAAAATTGAATCATGACATTCCACATCGGCTATTTATCAGTCTGATGAGGAACGTTTGACGAGTTCGAAACGTCACTGAATCATTTCATTTTTTTACGGGTGTTTTTCTTTTCACGAAATACCTTGTTATTTTTGGAGACCATATAGCCCGATAACCTATTAAATTCCACAAACTGATTACATTTTAGATTAAATTTGTTGCCGTTATTTGCGGTGAGGGACTTTAAGATTCTAAAGTTAAGATTAGAGTGAAGAACCTGTTTGAAACAAGTACTATACGTAAGATTGGAGATGGACACTAGTTAAGACAGAAAGGAAGATAACAAGAAGTAAGCGTCAGAAGATATTATTGTTAGGCTGTTAAGTTTGGTATTTCAAGGCCAGATCACAAACCATTTTGACCTGCCTGCGTTCAAGGATATGTGTGTTGCTATGAAGTCGATAGAAGCCTTTTGCGTTTTCGTCCTCAAGAACCTTCCATAAAAAGAAAAAAAAAAATGGAAAGGAATTACAATAGTAAGAGAGTCTAAGCTACCCCCCCCCCCCAAAAAAAAAAAAAAAAAAAAAAAAACGTTTCTGATGAACCAAGGAAGAAGATATATACATTCCAGAAAATTGCCGATTGCCTTTCACTGTTTGTGTTTCTAAAGATAGCCTGTGATGCATGGAATTCGCAGGAAAATATAATCTTCAGTTTTCATTTGTTGATTCTTCTTTTGCTCTTGTTTTTGTCGCTGTTGATGATGGTTGTGATAGCGGTGGTGATATTAGGGATCCAGCTGTTCGGGGGAGTGATGATGGGGCATGAGGTAGAAGGAGGGTAGGATGAGAAAGAGAGAGAGGACGGCTGAGAAAAGAGGATAGGATGAGAAAGAGAGAGAGGATATTGTCTGAAAGAGGAAGGAAGGGATGGTAAGAGGATACGAGGGGATAGAATAGGGATACGTGGAAACTAAGATGAATAACACGTTCTATTAAAAAATTCTTATTTATTATGGTGACTCTAAACCTTGATCAAGAAAGCCACCATGCAATAATCAGATTTTTGGAAATTATACTTAAATAAGCGGCATGATTTCCGATGTTTCTTGGGGGAGGGGGGGAGGGTATCAAAACGTGTCAGTGAGACATGGAAGAATTCCATGTACAAACTAGAAAATGTTTGAAGAGCACTAGGTGTGTATGTTCAATTACAGAGACTTAAAGGGCAGTTAGGCTTATAATTGATTGGACATTAGCTGACCATTTTTTTTACATATCGAACATTTTTATTTATCAACACAACATTACAGCAATGCATCATATTTTCTTTACTCGGTCCAGAGGAACTGAAGTTATCATAAAGTCTTGATAGAAAAAAATAGTATCTGTATTTACTGATGCAAAAATTGTTGATAATAGAAATAATTTGAGTGAACTTGGAAAGTTGCAACCCCAGAGTATCTTATGCTTTCGAGGATTATGTAGGTAATTATTTCTTAAATACCAATATATATGGCTGTGTAATCTGTGGTTTGCAATATATATTATTTGGGTGAATACAGTAATTACACACATGAAGCTAATGAACCTAAAGTTATTGTCTTTTTCTTTATCCGGGAGTTTATATTTATCAGTGATGTATTGCACTGTGTCCATATATGTTCATTTTCTACGTTTCTAGTGACCACTTATACCAACTCCCAGACTATTAGATAGTCTTTAAAATAGATTCGAATACTACGGCCACTATCAGTTTTTAAAGATACCGGAATGGGTTGAATAACAAAAAAATGATAAATAATAATAATAATAATAATAATAATAATAATAATAATAAATAGATAAATAGATAAATGAATGAATAAATAAATAAATAAAGTTCTTATGATGGGAGGCAGATACAAGCTGAGATGGATGGGGAGATATGTGAAAGTTTCAGGCAAGAAGATCAAATGAAAGGAAATGTGGATATTACTGAATGATAAAAACGAATCTAAGAACCCAAGTCCCGCCTCTGCTGAAATTCCTGAAAACTGGGAGGGGGTGTTAAACGCTTCGGCAATATTATAGTTTGTGAGTCATGCGGTCAGTTGCCTGCTGAAATGACTTACGGTATTTAAGTGGATTACGTCCTCATTTTTCAGGAAATAGTGGATTACGTCACTGATTTTTGCAGGGAATAATGCTTTACGCTCTTTTTTTTTTTTTTTTTTTTTTGGGGGGGGGTGAGTTTATTTTTATAATTGAAATAATAGAGTAAATGTATATTTCTTTTAGTTTATTTTTATAATGGAAATAGAGTCCAGCATTTTCCTTTTCTATTCCTTTTCTTTTCAATCTTATTTCTTCTTTTGTACGATTACGTCTTTAGATTTTTATAGGATCCAGTGGCTTATTATTATTATTATTATTATATCATTTATTCACGGTTACTAGTTGCTTCTTTGATTTATTGCAGGTTATCCAATTTTCTACAGAATATTGTTTTATATATTTTTAACAGGGACCAGAAATTCATGGCTAAATTACTTTGCCCAAGTTGGTTACCAGAAAATAGGATTTGGAATTCGGTGTTTCTGCGTATTTTAGCGAATATATTTAATCTTGTTTGCGCTGACGTGACATTTCCCCTCATATGGAAGCGTTTTGTCCCCAAACAAGAATGATGTTGAAGAATACGAGAAACTCTAACATATACCAATTTACTGGGCTATCTATCTGTGTATTTACCCCCCCCCCCTCCTCTCTCTATATATATATAGATAGATAGATAGATAGATAATTATATGTATAGATAGATATTTGTAGACTGATGTGCACACACATGCATGTATACACACACACACATATGCACACACACACACATGTACACACACACACACACACAAACACACACACACACACACACACACACACACACACACACACACACACACAATGCACACACACAATGCACACACACACACACACACACACACACACACACACACACACACACACACACACACACACACACACACACACACACACACACACATACACACACACACACACACATACACACCCACGCGCACACGCACGCGCGCGCACACACACACACACACACACACACACACACACACACACACACACACACACACACACACACACACACACACACACACACACACACGCGCGCGCACGCATGCACACACACACACACACACACACATTTATGTATGTATATACATAAATACACATATGCATATGTGTGTTATCAGAATTATGAAATTAGAAGGACTACAGCTCACGATGACATTAATTTGCATACAGCGTGAATGTCAACTGTATCTCATACTTTCAAGGTTAACCTCTTAGTCATGTATTTTCTTAAAATGACGAAGTCTAAATTTCCCGACGAAGCAATAGACAAAATGGTTTACGTTGTTATTAATCTAAACAATGATACTATATAAACAGGAAGATACTTTCGTTATACCATAACTATAATTTACTAACACACACACACACACACACAGGTAGAGGGAGAAGGAGAGGGGGAGGGAGAGGGAGAGGGGAGGGAGAAGGAGAGGAACAGGGAGAGGGGGAGGAACAAAGGGTGGGAGAGGGAGAGGGAAAGGGAGAGGGAGAGGGAGAGGGGAGGCAGAAGGAGAGGGGGAGGGAGAGGAAGAGAGGGAGGGAAAGGGAGAGAGGGTGGGAGAATAAGAGGAGGAAGGGAGGAGGAGAGAACGAGAGAGAGCGAGACTGAAAGATTTAAAGAAAGAGATTGAGCAGAACTGATTCACAGAAGACACTAATTCCTCCTTATCTATCTCACTGCTTTATTTATAAGCGCTTTTATATATTACAATATACAGATACGAACATACCCTGCCTGTTATATGCTATTGTGGTGTAGAAGTCAAAGAAGTGTCAAAGTAGCGTTCGAAAAGGTAAGATAGTTAATTACAATGAACTAGCATCTGATCCCAAATGATACGAAATTAAATCCAAAGCCTTTTCCTTTCCATGGACTTAAAAAAAGGGCTGAAACATAATTCAGATGTAAACAAGATTGTTTCTCAAGGAAGCATAATTGAAAGGCAGTCACGTTATTTTACAGTTTGCGATGTTAGCATTTGTGAAAATAACACCGAAAGAAAACACAAGTTCACTGGCCATCAGATTCGTATATTTTTGTAATAAAATCGTAACGTTTTTCGGTTTCCCATGAATCCCAGACGAAAATACAGGCCATGTTCGGTATATCTTCGCCAACGCTTCGTGAAATAGTCGAGTACATTCAAGTTGCCCACCTCTACTGAACATTATATATTAATATATATATATATATATATATATATATATATATATATATATATATATATATATATATATATATATATATATATTTCCATACATATATGTGCGTGTGCGTGTGTGTGTGCGCGCGTGCGTGTGTATTTACATTTGTGCATACATGTATATACACATGTATGTATATGTATAAGTATATATAGATAACGTATTAATGCAAGCACATATGCACACACACACGCACGCACACGCACGCACGCACA